TGGCAATGTCTAGAGACACTTTGGTCATCACGCCTGGATGCTGGGGTACTCCTGGCATCTAGTGGGTAGAGCCAGGGATGCTGCTAAATATCCTACAATGCACACACAGGATGGCCCCTCACAAAAGAGAATGATCCAGCCCCAATGTCAACAACGGTGAGACTGAGAAACCCTGCTTCCAGGTGTAGGGAGCACTTTTATATTTTAGCATACAGTAAGTGTGCTATTATTAACCACCGTGGAGTTTCCAGTCTTCTGCCTCATCAGCAAATCCTGATTGCCAGCTCCATGCTCTGAATGCCCTAGTTTAGAGAAAGCAGTGGCTTCACAGACCCATCCATGAGCAACCCTCAATCAGGCAAGTCCTGCTTTAGCTGGCTCTGTCTCCCCATGAGACCAAGGTCTCCTTGAGGGTGAGACCCCAGGATCAGCTGGTACAGGGCTAGGCAGTGCTTGGCTCAGAATAAATCCGTCCAGTTGAAAGGACCTGCTGTTGAAAGACCCAAGCATTGTTCTAGGTGTGCTAGGAACATGGCAGAGAATAAAAACAGACCAAATCCTTGCCCTTGTGGGTCTGAGGCTTAAGCGGGGAAAAGAGAAAATAAAGAAACATATCCGGCAGGAATTTTTTACCAGTGAAGGGATGTAACAGGGTTTGACAACAGGGTAGAGGGGAAGCTGCTATTTGAGTTGGGTGTCAGGTGGCTAGCTGAAACCCGAAACATGAGAATAAATGTAGAGTCACATTGCACACCTTAAATTTTTGTCAATTATACCTTAATGAAGCTGGGGAAGAAAAGATATGATGAATGAATGAAGAAATGTATTTTCACAAGTCTGAACCACACAGAAAATACTCTGGCTGGTTCCCAAAGTCTGATACAAATTACCTTGGTCTGGTAATTTTAAATGGCACATGGAGGAACGTTTTCAATTCATTTTCTATTATATGTATTTATGTTAAATGAGAGATTTGTTTTGACTCAGAGAAGGAAAAAAAATAGATTCACCCTAGACATCAAATCTATAGCCTTATGGATATAATAATAGTTATATGAATTTTGCTTTAAAATAAATAAGGTTTGGGATGCCTGGGTGGCTCAGTCGGTTAAGCATCTGCCTTTGGCTCAGGTCATAATCCTGGGGTCCTGGGATTGAGCCCGGGATTGTGGGTGTTGCTGCTCAGCCGGGAGTCTGCTTCTTCCTCTCCCTTTGCCCCTCCCCGCCGTTTGTGCATGCTCTCTAGCTCAAATAAATAAATAAAATCTTTTTAAAAAATAAAATAAGGCTTCAAAGGCAGACCACTGAAAGAAAACTATTAAGTAATAAAAAGGTAATACATAGATGGAGCAAAACTGGTGGCAGATGATTGGGAATGACTAAAATTTCATATCAGAAGCGTCTGTCTGGATTAAGACAAAGATGGAGGGTGAGGCCAAAGAGTCCCAAATTCAAGTTTGGGAACTATTAGGGCACCAATCTCTCCCAAATTCCAGAAAACAAAACACAGAAGAGCTCAAAACTTTGAGGGGATTTTAAAGCCAGTTTAAGACACCCACTTGTCCTGGCAGGTGGTAAACGTGGCTGATGCCTTTATCCCTCTTCCGTTTCAGGAATGTTCTCTCACTGGGTGCTGGGCCATCCATTAGGGTGAGAGGGGGTGGTGTTTTCTACGGGAAGAAGAGGCAGTACAAATAATTGAAGCTGTGCTGCTTGGAGGAGGCAGAAGGGAAGGCTACGTGAAGGATGTGACATCTGAGCTAGGACTTGAGGGAGAGGTTGGATTTCAACAGATGCAGGAGAGAGGGTGGGGCTTGGGCACAGAGAAACTTGAGGGTGTGGCTGGGCAGGTGGCTCTCTCTGGCCTTGGAGTGTGAGAGGTGAGGAGGGGTGCAGGAGTGGATGTGAAGGGCCTTGAATTAGACCAAGGCTGAGGGTTGACCTGGCAGGCAATGGGGAGCCATGGATGGTGCCTGAGCAGGGGAGGAGCCCCCTTTAATTGGTGTTTTAAAGTACATTGGAGTTTATTGATTTTGTTAGGGATGTGGATTTTTTTTTAAGATTTATTTATTTATTTCAGAGAGAAAGAGAGAGAGTGCATTAGGAGGGGGGAGGAGCAGAGGGAGAAGAGAAGCAGACTCCCTGGGGAGTCTTCCCCTCCCCACGCAGGGCTGGATCCCAGGACTCTGAGGTCATGACCTGAGCTGAAATCAAGAGTCAGATGCTCAACCAACTGAGCCACCCAGACACCGCAGGGATGTGGATTTTTTAGGGATGTGGAGAACATCTGCATTGGTGCCTGGCTGGATGTGAGGTTTCGGGCAGCAGAGGAGGAGAGGAAGAGAGGAGTGGGTGTCAGCTCAGCGTCTCTGCCCTCAGAGAGTTGGGGACAGGGAAGGAGAAGCAAGTTGAAGGGCCCAGGGATGAGGAGTCCCTGAGAGTAGGCTTCCTCGCCGTGTTACCTTGGGCAGGTCATGTGGCCACTGTAAGCCTCCATCCCTGTACAGATAAAATGGAGGAGATGAGCGCAAGATGAAGTGGTGTTTACAGCGTGCTCGTCCCCATGCTTGGCACAGACCACAGGCTGGACGAACATCAGCACTTCGAGCGTGAGGTTTGATTTGGACAATCCCAGCAGTTCTCAACTGGGGCAGATTATCCCCCTAGGGGACATTTGGCAATGTCCAGAGATACCTTTGGTCGTCACATTGTGGAGGGGAGGATCTATTGGCATCTAGTCAGCAGAGGCCAGGGATGCTGCTAAACATCCTAGAGTGCACAGCACAGCCCCCACCACAGAGAACAATCCTGCCCCAGATGTCAGCAGTGCTGAGGCTGAGAAGCCCTGCCTGCCAAGGAGAGGCACCAGGAGGCAGCTGGGCCCATCATGAGAAGTGCGTCCCTGAGTCACCTGTCCTGGGAAGACATAGATGCCCAGGGAGTGGGTCATTGAGGTCACCCGGGAGGAGGTGGACAGGGGATGGGTTGACAGAAGCATGGATCACAGCTGCATTTAGAGAGAGGGCAGGCAGAAGCATGAAGCTAGAGGAAGAGATGAGCCACATCTGGGAGGCTGAGGAAGAGTGGTAATAGGTACAGTCACCATCGCCTGTGCCTAGAGGTCAAGGGGCCCAGGGCCTGGGAAGGGACAGGGCTCTGTGGTTCCCAGGCATGAGAGTCCTCAGCCTGGTAGCAACCAACAAACTATAATCTAAATGGGAAGATAAGACATGGAGGCGGTGGCCAGATTAGGGAGATGGTACCAGAAAAATGTGTGGAAGTGGACAAAGGAGGAGCATGGCAGGAGTGAGAGGAAGAGTTTTTCCTGGGCCTCCAGAAGCTCACAGCAGACTTTTTGGGGGCAGAGACAAAAAAGAAGAGCAATCTCCTCCAACACTGTTGGTGAAGATGTAAAATGGTGCAGCCGCTATGAAAAACAGTTTAGCAGTTCCTCAAAAAGCTAAACATAGAATTACCATATGAGCCAGCAATTCTACTCCTAAGTATATAGCCAAAGAAGTGAAAACAGGGAGTCGGTGTCCTTGCATGTTCATATGTCCACACACATTCATAGCAGCACAATTCACGGTCGCCGAAGGTGGAAACAACCCAACTATCCATCAATGGAGAAATAAATAAACAAATGTGGCCCATCCATACGGTGGAATATTACTCAGTCATGAAAAAGAATGAAGCCCTGACACACACTACCCCATGGGTGAACCTCAAAAACATCATGCTGAGTGAAAGAAGCCAGGCACAAAAGGTCACACATTGTATGACTGCATTTCTGTGAAATGTCCGGAAAAGGTAAATCCATAGAGATAGAGCACATTAGGGATGGCCAGTGATGGGGGGAGGGGGCAGGGAGCAGTGAAGCCCATATCCAAGGAGAATGAGTACAGGATCTCCTCTTGGGATGATGGAAAATTTTTAGAACTAGACAGAAGTGATGTGGTTGCACAATATTTGTGAATGTAATGCCACTGAATATACACTTCAAGATAGTTAACTTTTTAAAAAATATTTTATCTATTTATTTGACAGAGAGAGAGTACAAGCAGGGGGAGTGGGAGAGGGAGAAGCAGGCTCTCCGTGGAGCAGGGAGCCCGATGAGGGCTTGATCCCAGGACCCCGGGATCATGACCTGAGCCAAAGTCAGATGCTTAACCGACTGAGCCACCCAGGTGCCCCTCAAGATGGTTAACTTTATATTATGTGAATTTACCTCAATTAAAAAAAAAGAGAGTTCCAGCAGGAAACAGAACACTCAAATGGGGTAATTTGAAAAGAGTTTAATAAAAGCACTATTTCAAAAAGAGGTCAGCCAGGAACCATTCATTACCACCCCAGAGCGCTGGGACCTGGGGTTATGGGGTGAAAGCAGTTGCTGGAACCTGGACTTGTGCAGAGAGAGGACTGCCTGTCAAGAGCTGTTGGTTGAGGGACACAGGCAGCCTGCATGGACCACACAGGAGAGGAGAGGAGATATTAATACCCTGACCTCAGTCTCCTTTTTCCCTCCAATGCCTGCTGTGGCTCCCTATTGCCGAACCCAACGGGAAGCCAAAAGGCAAAGGTTGAGTGGTCCATACAAGTCAGCCTCCCAGGACACAACATAGGGGGCAGAAGGGTGGAGCCAAGGCAGAAGATAATTCAGAGATTTGAAGCAAAGACCAGAGCAGTTCAGGGGTGTGGGGTGAATGGAGGAGCCAACAGCTCCTTCCAACTCATCACTCACCACACTCTTGCTCACTGCCACTTGCAACCATTTTGCCAAACCCTCCAAGGCCATCTCTCCCCCCTCAAAGCCTTTGCACATGCTGTTCCTTCTGCCTGGAATTCTATTCCTCTCACCTGCTCCGCTAACTCCTACTTCTCCTTCAGGTATCAGCTCAAAGGCCATTTTCTCTGAGGGCTTCCCCCACTTCTGGGCTCAGTTCAAGCCCACACGGGACGCAGCCACAGCCCCCGTGCGTCCTCAGTCACAGCAAACTTACCCTTGGAGTGGTTTGGTTACCCGGGAGCTCTGTGCAGGTAGACAGGCTCTTTCTCACTCCCGCCTTTTCCCCAGGCCCAGCGGGCACAGGGCACATATTCATTCGGCAAACACCAAGTTCCCAGGAAGTACCAGGCGTTGTTCTACAGTGGAAATTCAATAAAGCATAACTAGAAACACATAAGCAAAAAGGTTATCCTATGCGATGTGTGCTGTGGAGGACAATCCAGCGAGGCAAGGGCACGGGGAAGGCCTCTCTGAGGTGCTCTCTGAGCAGAGACCATGCTCATGACCTGAGCCATGGATGGACGGTGCGTGAAGAAAACAGCCAAGAGCCCCGTGAGGCCGGAGCCGAGTGAGCGACGGAGAGAGTGGGAGGAGACAGGGGCTGGGAGGTGACGGGACAGATCGTGCCACTGGGAGGTACTTCGGCTTTTCCTCTGGGGAAAGGTGGCGCCGCGGAGGGTTCCGAGCCAGCCCACGAGGACGTTGACTTCGCGGGGGCCGGGCTCGGATTTCACCCGCTCCCTCTGGCTATAACGCGCGGGCGAAAGGGGGCGCCAGAGCGACGCGAGGAGCGAGGCGGGGAGGCTGTGGCAGCCGCCCCGCAGGGACTGCGTTGTGGAAAGTGGTAGAATTGGGGGTTTGTTTAGAGGCGACGGGACTTGCTGGCAGAGGGAATGTGGGCGTGAGAGAAGGAGGGAAGTCAGGGGTGACGCCAAGGGTTTGGGCCTGGGCCACATCTAGGCTGGCGTTTTCAATGGAGAAATGGAAACTAACTAGGGGAGAAGGAAAGAGGGGATGGAGAGAAAGACGGCAACTGGGAAGAGAGGGAAAGGGGGAGATGGTCGCAATAAGGCGCCAGGCGGGTGCAGGACACCCCTCGAGGCGGGCGGCGGGCGGCGGGAGGAGAGGCCCTGGTCTTCAGAAGCTAGAGAGATGGACAGCACGTTCCTCTAGAATTGGGGGTTGCTGCTGGGGAGCTGGGAGGACCGGGGGCAAGGACATTGCCCTCCTGGGGAGGGGGGCGGCCTGGCGGGGGGTGGGGAACAAGATTACCTCTCACCAGGTATGGCTGGGGAGGTGTCCTTCCTGGACTCTGCCTGGAGGGACCCAGCCCCTGCCCTTCTTCCACACACACCTGTCTCCATTTCCCCAGTTGGTGGGGGGGTTCATCTCCACCTCCCTCTCCCAGGGCCCAGGGACAAGGGATTTGCGGGATTTGCCAAGTGGAGGCTAGAAGGTACTGCAGACGTCAGCGATACCGCAAGCCGACTTCCCCTCAGCCAATCAGATTTCACCCTCCTACACTTCAGTCAATTAAATGTTCTCCTAGCCCTCAGCCAATCAAATTCCTGACCTTCAACCAATCAGACTCTGCCTTCCCTTCTTCAGTCAATCAGACACTCCTGTCCCGCTTCACAGACAACTAGATTCCACCTTCGTGCTCCTTTGCCCATTGAACCACTCACCCCTCAACTAGTCAGGCTCGGCCCTCCCCACATACCTCAGCCTATCAGAAACAAGTCTTTTGTCCCTCGGCCAATAAGAATGCCCCTTTATTTTTTTTTTTTTAAGATTTTATTTATTTATTTGACAGAGAGGGACAACGAGAGAGGGAGCACAAGCAGGGGGAGTGGGAGAGGGAGAAGTGGGACTCCTGCTGAGCAGGGAGCCCGAGGCGGGGCTCTATCCCAGGACCCCGGGATCATGACCTGAGCTGAAGGCAGACGCTTAACGACTGAGCCACCCAGGCGCCCCAAGAATGCCCCTTTAGAAGAAGCCTGTGGGTGTCTAGGCCCAGGTCCACCACTTACCTGCTCTATGGCCTGGAGTACATCTCTTAGCATCTCTGTGCCTCTTTCCTTTCAACTGTAAACTGAGGGTGCTCCTCTTCCTTCCCTCTTAGGGTGGGCCTGAGACTCGCACCAGAAAGTGATCTCTTCCTAAAAATACGTTGTGTAAATGTGTATTATTATTTCTCCTCCATCCCTCAAATCCCCCAAAGCTGTTTCCTCTGTTGGAAGGCTCTTCCCTGCCAGACCAAATCCTATTTATCCTTCAAAACCCAGCTACAACCGCCCCCTCTCCCAGGAACTTTTCTATGCCCCCTTCCCAAGCTGAACCCCAGCTGCCCTTCTGGCTCTTCCAGCTAACCTAATCATGACCACGTGGGGCAGAGTGTCTGGCTGCCATTGTCCCCTCTGCCCACCCCCACCCCCACTTCCTGCTGTTGGAAACCTAAGAGCCCAGAGCTTGGACCTTTTGGGGCCCCCAAATCTCCCACCATGAGGGTGGGCACAAAAAAATATTGGTGTCATTTGAATACCTGCTGACCAACTGAGCCAATGAACAAATCGATTTCAATATTGATCAGCTGGAGAGGAAGTCCAGCATTGGACTTTTTGGAATCATTACATCCTTTAAAATCATGTGCAAAATCATGAGTTCATCTTTTCAGGAGAGGCTTGGAGCCATAGCTTTCACCAGATTTGGGGGAGAAATGGGGAGGTAAAGAACTTTGTTTTACAAATTGGAGTCCCAGAGAGAGGCAGTAACTTTCCCAAAGTCACACAGCCTGGTAAGAACAGGAATTTAACTGCCACGGCCCATCTGAGGAGCTTCCCGGGACTTGGAGACTGAGCATAAAAAGGTATTCATCCCCATGATCCAGTTTAGGAGGGAAGAATATTCATATTTATAAGAAGAAGCCCAGTGGTCAGTCAGTTGACAGACATTTAGTGAACACCTGAATGCTATGTGCCAGGCACTGGTCTCAGCCCTGGGGATGCAGCACTGAGCAAGACAGGTCCCTGCTCCCATGGAGTTTCCATCCAAGTGGGGAAGGCAACAATAAATAAATAAACGCATAAGATAAATAAACAAATGAATAAGATACTGTCAGGTAAGGATCTTAGTAAATAGAATGAGTTCACAAGGAAGGACTGGGAACCTATTTACATAGGATGGTCAGGGCTAGGCTTCTAGGAGGAAGTAATGTTTGAGTGATCCCTGAATGATAGGAAGACATGAATTGGAGCATTCCAAGCAAAATGAGCAGCAAGTACAAAGACTCTAGGGTGGAGTGAGGGTAGCACCCTCAAGAAGCAAGAGGCCAGTGGGCTGGAATAAGGAACCCATGAGGAGAGGAGATTAGAAGGGTTGGTAGAAGCCAGATCCTGAAAGTTCTAGTATATGCACCACAGAAAGGGGAGGGAAGGGAGAAGAGTGCCCCACAAAAGAGGGACCAGTAGGAGACGATGCCTGGAAGCAAGGAAGTGCCTGGCTGGTGCCTGTTTGGGGCACCGGAAGTCACCCTGCCTCCTGCTGTGCTGATATAAACTGTAGAACAGAGAGGAGTGAGTAGGTTCGGGCAAAGGTGATCTCCACCAGGGAACCAGTTGTGGTTCATGACCACAGGCTACCCCAGGCTGATTCAGCAAGATTCTGTGTTGTCAAAGGTCAGCTCCCCAAAGAGCAAAGCAACCTAGCAGCAAATTGCCCCCCACCCCAGAGGACCTCCCTTAGGAATTTCTCCTCACTAGCTTCCAGAAAGGTTAAGCTTCAGAAAATTTCTCAAAAATGCTTGTAGGGTGGATCCAGTCACCAGCTGCTGTGTGACTTTTGGCAAGTTACTTCACCCCGCTAAGCCTCAGTTGACCACTTTTTTGTTTGTTTGACCCATCATAAATCAAAGGCATAATACAGGTACCATCCTCTGCCTACAGTACTAGGTTGATTCTTCACAATAAGGGAAGGACTTGGATTATGATCATTTATAGGTAGAGAGATGGAGGCTCAGAGGAAGGAAGCAACTTGCCCAAGTTGGGAGTTAAACCCAGATCTGTCAGATTCCAAAGATGAGGAGACTATGAAGGGCAGAGTCCTGAGCCCCTCCTTAGCAAGTGTCCAGCACCCAGTTGTCACTAAGCAGACAGGGGTTATTGTGACAGTCATTAGCCTCAGGATGGTGTGGGGTCACCTCTCCCAGCCTCAGTTTCCTTGGCTGCCAAGTGGGGACTTGGAATTCTTCACTTGGAATTCTCTCTTCACTGGCTTTGTGAGGCAACAGAGATATAAAGTGTTTGGTGGTCCCTCAGAAAGTTAAACATAGAGGTACCATATGACCCAGCAATTCTACTCCTAGGTACAGACCCCAAAGAATTGAAAACAGTATTCAAACAAGTACAAGTACACACATGTTCACAACAGCACTCTTCACAATAGCCAAAACTGGAAACACCCCAAATGTCCATGAATTATGAATGGATAAGTAAAAGTCCTATATACACACAATGAAATGTCATTCAGCTGTAAAAAGGACAGCTGTAAAAACTACAATGTGGACCAACCTGAATGAAAGAAGCCAGTCACCAAAGTCACGTAGTGTATGATCCCATTTATATGAAATGTCCAGAATAGGTCATTCTTAGAGACAAAAAGCAGAGTGGTGGTTGCCAGAGGCTGAGGGGAGGGGAAATGGGAAGTGATTACATAATCAGTATGGAGTTTCCGTCTGGGGTGATGAAAATGTTCTGGAACCAGATAGAGGTGATGGTTGCACAATACTGTAAATGTACTAAATGCCACTGAACTATTCTCTTTAAAATGATCAATTTTATGTTACATGAATTTCACCGCAATAATAAATACATAGCAAATAAATAAATGGTGGGAAGTGGGTTGAGAACGATTTTATATCACTGATTCCTTTGCTAAGGCTGTGAGATAAGCACATTATTATTGCCATTTTAGAGTTGGAGAAATCAAGGCACAGGGAGGGGAGGTGCTCCACCTAGGGAGTGGGGAAGACTGAATGGGTCATGGGGTCTCCCTGACCTCAAGCAGGTCCCACTCCTCTGCCTGGGAGCCATGCAGGTGACAGACACCCACACTGAGTTTACCACCCTTGGGCACAGGTGACTCAGCCAGAGGGCAGACAGCAGAACCCAGGGCATTGGCCAGCTTGACCTGGTTCTTTTTCCCCGGCCCAGGAGAAGACAGCAAGGGAGGCCCAGGGCCAAGGGACTGTCCTTTGTTCAGAGAGAAAACCTGTTATTGTCACTTCTCCGTGTCCAGTCCTGTGAAGACTCAGCCCTGGAGCCAGCCCTCAAGAAGCTCCCAGTCTGGAGAGTATGGAGTCAGACACAGACACTCCCAACCACTCAGTGTCAAGGCTGAGCCAAAGAAAGGAGCCTGGGGCTGGAAGAGCCAAGAGAAGAACGCCAGAGGAGAAGGGAAGACCTCCTGGAAACCGGAGTATTGGAGATATTTGAAGAATGTACAGGAGTCCACCAGATCAAATGGAAAAGTTTTACTAGTGGGAAGGCAAAGAAATAGAAACCCTCGTGGGAGAAATTGGTAATATCTGGCAAAATTGTATGCTCATTTATCCACTTGGAAGAATATATCCCAATGATTCCCTTGTAAAACTAAGAAAAGATAAATGAACATGGCTTTTCATAACAGCACTATTTAAAATATCAAAAGACTGGAAATAGCCCATAAGCCCATCAGTAGGGACTGGTTGATAAGCTAAGGCACAGCCACATGATGGAGTCCTATGCAGCTGTAAAAAGGAATGAGGAATATCTCTCTATGCTGTCATAGGAAACAGTGTTAAGTGGAAAACAGGGAAGTGGAGATATATATATATATATACTAGTGACAGATATACATATACTAGTATTTTTAAAATGGAACAATAGGGGCGCCTAGGTGGCTCAGTCGGTTAAGCGTCTGCCTTCGGCTCAGGTCATGATCCCAGGGTCCTGGGATCGAGTCCCGCATTGGGCTCCCTGCTCAGTGGGAGTCTGCCTCTCCCTCTCTATCTGCCTCTCCCCCAGCTCATGATCTATCTTGCACTTCTACCTCTCTCTCTCCCTCTCTCTCTCAAAAATAAATAAATAAAATCTTTAAAAAAATGGAACAATAGACCATGAAAAATTATAAATGATTACCTGAGATGGAGGGAAAGAACATGATGAAAGGTAAATGAATAGAAGCTAGATGTTTCTTTATATACCTTGTTTCGCAGATTTGACTTTAGAACCATGCAAATATCTTACATAATTCTAAGGTAATATTAGACTTAAACAAATAATTCCCTCACTTCACACCCATTAGGATGGCTATTATAAAAAAAGAAAATAACAAATGTTGGCAAGAATGTAGAGAAACTGGAACCCTTGTGAACCACTGGTGGGAATGTAAAATGGTGCAGCCACTGTGGAAAACAGTCTGGCAATTTCTTAAAAAATTAAACATACAATTACCACATGATCCAGCAATTCCACTTCTGGATATATATCCAAAAGAAATGAAAGTGGGAACTCCACTCAAACAGATATTTGTACACTCATGTTCACAACAGCACTACTCACAGTAGCCCAAAGTAGAAACAACCCAAATGTCCATCAACGAATGAATGGATAAACAAAATGTGGTCTATCTATACAATGGAATATTGTTCAGCCTTAACAAGGAAAAAACAGGGGCACCTGTGTGGTTCAGTCGGTTAAGCGTCCAACTCTTGATTTTGGCTCAGGTCATGATCTCAGGGTTGTGAGATTGAGCCCAGAGTCAGACTCTGCCCTAGGTGTGGAGCCTGCTTGGGATTCTCTCTCTCCCTCTGCCCCTTCCCCCCATTCATGCTCTCTCTCTAAAAAAAAAAAAAAAAGAAGAAAGTAAAACATCTGACCCAGGCTACAACATGAATAAACCTTGAGGACGTTATGCTAAATGAAAGCAGCCAGTCACAATAGGACGAATACTGTATGATCCCACTTATATAAGATCCCTAGGATAGTCAGATTCATAGAGACAAACTAGAATGCTGGTTGTCAGGGGCCGGGAGAGGGGATGGGGAGGTCGTGTTTAGTGGTTAGGGACAGTTTCTGTTTGGGAAGATGAGAAAGTTCTGGAGATGGATATGGTGATGGTTGTATAACAATGTGAATGCACTTAATGCTTCTGAACCGTACACATAAAATGGTTAAATGATGTTTATATTACGTATATTTTACCACAATAAAAAAAAAGTAATGTGGCATTACCTCATTTGAAAGACCCAGCTACTCTAAATTGAATTTGTTATAATACAATATTTCAGAGATATTTTTAAAGATTTTTTTTTAATTTATTTATTTGACAGAAAGAGACAGAGAGAGAGGGAACACAAGCAGGGGGAGTGGAAGAGGGAGAAGTAGTTCCCCTGTCTGAGCAGGAACCCGATGCAGAGCTCGATCTCAGGACCCTGGGATCATGACCTGAGCCGAAGGCAGCCACTTAACAACTGAGCCACCCAGGCGCCCCTTTCGGAGATATTTTTAAACAGGGGGTGGAATAGTGAGGTGAATTTTTCAATAATTATAACAGATTAATAACAATTACAATATTAATCCTTTTTTTTAGATATTTTCTAATTACATAATGTTTCTTGTTGCACATTAATGCATAATCTTATCATGAGGTGTTGTTTTTCTTGTTGTTATTGTTGTGAGTTAAAACTTTCTGCCCTCAAAAAAAAACTCCCTAAAAATCAGAAGTTTCAGGTTAGTGGTACAAATGTGCAGAAAGAAAATATTTCAAGTGACCCTATAGCACAGTAATTTGATAGCATACCCACAGTGGGATATGCCCAAAGGAGGAAAAGAACCAGAAAGAGGAAGGCTTAAACCAGTTTTCCATAATCATATTGTTTCAGGCACTGTTGGCATGTTACTCTAAGATTGATGTGCATGATTGTGGAATGAAGCAAACTGAGAATATGGATTTTCGGTGTGGGGAAAAAGAAAATACAGGCATAAGATTGATCAGTTTAAGTAAAAGTCATGTAATTCTGAATAGGAATTTGGAAGTATCAGCATAAATTCATAATGTATTTTATTTAAAAAATTGTAGGGAGGGGCGCCTGGGTGGCTCAGTTGGTTAAGCGACTGCCTTCGGCTCAGGTCATGATCCTGGAGTTCCGGGATCGAGTCCTACATCAGGCTCTCTGCTCAGCAGGGAGTCTGCTTCTTCCTCTGACCCTCCTCCCTCTCATGCTCTCTCTCTCATTGTCTCTCTCGCAAATAAATAAAATCTTAAAAAAAAAAAAGTTTAAAAAAAAAATTGTAGGGAGAAGGGCACCTAGGTGACTCAGTCAGTTAAGCATCCAACTCTTGATTTCGGCTCAGGTCATGATCTCAGGAGCAGTGAGATCGAGCCCCACGTCTGGTCTCCCGCAGGGCGAAGGGCGTAGGGCGTGAAGCCTACTTGGGATTCTCTCTTCCCTCTGTCCCTCTCTCCCTCTCACTCTGCCCCTCCCCCACTCACACCCACACCCTCTCTAACTTTCTCAAAAAATTAATAAATCAATAAATACTTAAAAAATTAAAAAGAAAAAAATGGTAGGGGGTTTCCTATTTCTGTCCAGTGAAAAGTCCTAGAAACAACTAACCCAGCAGTTATGAGCACCCTTATCACCTTGATTGCTATCTCTAAGTACCACTTTCCAAACAAAGGAAGAAAGGCTCCCTGGGGAAATGGTTGATTCCCAGGCTTGTGGCGGGAAATGTACAAGATATTCCTGGAACATCTTGTTACGTCATAAAGCAAGAAACAGTCCTGTCAAAAGAACTCAGGAGTCGAAGTGAAGAGGCTCCCACTGGCCAAAGGAGGATAGTAATTTGATTATCAGTAATGATTTTTAAAAAATGCAATGTATTCACACATTTCAATAGTTTAAGTCCATGAATTTGTAAAAATATGGGGGGAGAGGGAAATCTCATTATCTACCTTTGGAGGATGTCAAGGAGCCCAACAATTACTTTGAAAACCAGGGAAGGAAAGATACCAAGCATTGATCTTGTCTTTCCATGTGAAGTCTACCACTGGGTAAACAAATGGCAGATGAGAGGATATTTCTCTCTCCAGACATATTCCAGCTAATAAATGAAGAAGGAATAAATCATCCCAATATCACTCTGTTGTAGCTGCTAATGGATTAACAGGTTTAGGCATTGATCACCAACGGCAGAGAACATCACAGAAGAGAGACCGTGGGTGGCAATTATGGAAGAAATAAGATGGCTAATGAGTTGGCACATGTCAATTGGATGATGGATACATATGGGGATTCATTATACAATTCTCTCCACTTTTGAATATGTTTGAAATGTTCTGTTTAGAAAATAATGGTTAAAGCCCTTTGCCCTGTGTCATTCTCTCGAAGCAGGATGACGACAGATAGGAGCTGTAGGTGCTTGGTAAATATTCCCGAGGGTGTACCAGCATCTGGCCCCATTTACCCGACACTCATTCTTGGCCTCAAGCATACTGCCGAGGGCTGAACTCACAATTTCGCCATTATATCTCATGTCCTCAGTTGCAAAACTCCCTCCTCTCCAGTTCCAGGGCCAGGTGTTGAGAGATTAAATCTCACCTCTATTCT